GCTGGCACTGGTGCTGGCCGCCGGCTGTGAGCTTGGTGAGGGGTGCGGGGCCGCCAGAGCGGGCAGTGCCTGGGGGGTTGGGGGCACGGAGGGAGAAAGCAGGGAGGCAGAGGAGATGTGGTGTGTGCGAAGGGAGAGGTGGGAGTGGGGTGGGCCAGGCACGGAGGGGCTCTGGGGCAGACAGGGCGCCTGCGACCTGGGCCAGGGTGAGGAGGCGTGTGGCAGGGAGGGGCCTCTCCCCAGGGCTGAGACTGGCAGGGGGGTTGGTGGCCAAGGCCCTGGGTGCCCACTGGAGAACAGCCCTTCCTCAGCACGGGGTGCCGGAGAAGGGCTTTCTGCTGGGGCGGGCGGGCAGGGTCAGAATCGTGCTCCCGGCTCCCGGGCCGCGGTGCGGGGGCAGGTCTCAGGAGGGGCCTTGCGGACAGCAGGGAGGCCCTGGGGGTTGGGGGAACAGGGGGTGGAGAAGCGGGAAGCAAACCAGACGTACTGGGAGACTCGGGGTCTGAGAGACATCCCGAGCCCTCGGGGGCCCACACCCAACCAGAAAAGGAGCTGGGCTGGGCGGGCCCAGCCAGATGGCTCTGCCCATTTCCCAGAGGGGAAAACTGAGGTCATCCCGAGAGACACAGCAAGAGTTAGCGGGGATGGAGGGGCCTCGCTGTGCACACGGGCGGCCAGGGCTGCCGTGGTGGGGGTGGGGCACCGGGGCTGGAGGGAAGAGCAGCAGCCTGTGTGCCCTGAGCCCCGCCGCCACCCCACCAGCCTGCGCCCTGACCGGCCCACCCTGCACGCCACATACCTCCTCGCCTGATCCCCGATCCCCTCTGCAGCCCTTCGCGTCCCACATTTTGCCGATGAGGACGCCAGGGGTGACCCACCTGCCCCTGCCAGGCCCTTTACTGCAGGGGCCCCAGTGCCTCCGTCTCCCTGTGCCTCCCCAGCGCTCCCAAAGCTGCTTTATCCCTGCCTGGCCTTGGCCCCTCCAGGGGCATAAGCGGCCTCAGGACTCGGGGACCCCAGCTCGAAGCTCTTGAATCTTCCCTGAGTTTTGGTCGGTGGGCGACGGGGCCCTGGGTGGAGCCGACCCCTCAAACCTGGGTCTTCTGGTCAGAGGGCTTGGGAGGTCGGGGGCCTGCCTGACCCATTCCTCTCCACTCCTTCCCCAGTGTTGGCCTTGCGATGCCACACCTGTCCTGAGCCCACCAGTGTGCCCAGCTGAGTCACCACCACGACCTGCAATGCCCACAGAGCCATGTGCAAGACCACGCTCTACTCCCTGGAGATGGGGCAGTGGGGCCGGGTAGGGCGGGGCCTGGGTCCCAGGGTCAGAGCTGCCTTCAGGCCAGGCAGCCCGTGGGCAGAGAGCAGTCGCCACCTTCGTCAATTCCAGAAGAGGCTTTGGGTCCAAGCAGCCAGGCCTCCCTCCCTTCCTCCCTCCCTCATTCCTCCCTGTCCTTCCTGCAATGGGAACAATCTTCAGCCTGGCTGGGGAGTTGCTGGGGGAGGAGCGGCCTCATCCCGCGGGGCATCTGGAGCAAATCACCACGAGTGCTGTGCAACGGTGGTGGACGGGAGGAGGGGCTGGGTCACGGAGGGACTGAGACAGGGGTGGTGAGACACACACACACACACACACACACACACGTATGCATGGCCCTATAAGCACACACGTATGCATGGCCCTATAAGCACTCAGCACAGGCCCGGGGGAGGGCAGGAGACTGGCCCTAGGTACCCTGGGACGCCCCCTCTCTGCCCCACCACCCTGCCCTGCCCCACTCCAGAAGCTTCTCCTAGGCCCCTGGGTGAGTGGGCCCCTGGGATCTGGGACGGGCGCCCAGCAGCCAGCGTCTCCAGCCTAGTTGAGGTGGGGCTGTGCAGCCTTCCTTCTGCACCGCAGGGTGCCCCCAGCCTGCAACCCTGGGTCCAGGGAGCCCCACTGCCAGCCGTCACCCCATTTAAAGGAAGAAGGCAGGCAGCAGCCAGGGCTCATGGCCGGGTGCCTCCGAGGGTGCCCAGGCCTGTGGGAGAAGAGACCGGTGGTGGCCGAGAAGCCCCCTGTTCCTCGGACCCTGGCAACTCCACACCTCTGCTTCCTGTGGGCAAGACTTGCCGTCCGAGCCAGCTCCCAGCGGTCAGGACCCCCGCAGACCCCCTGCCCTGGGCGGACCCTTGGGCTGGGAAGCCAGGAACGTTCAAACGCTTGGATCCCACATCTGGGGCTGTGACTCTGAGCGCTGAGCTTGTCAAGGGGGAGACACTGCCCTCAGTCATGCATCACACCTCTCACCTGGCTCTTCTCGTTGTGTCTCACAAAAATGAGGACAGCGGAGGGTCACTTGGCCTTAAAGCCTGGATTGAGACTCAGTAAACACACACACACACACACACACACACACACACACACACACACACACACACACACACACACTTTATTCTCTTCTACAGGCAAACATGGGAAGGCTGCGTGCCCTTCCTGGCCACTACCCCGCTGCTGCCCCGGCAGCACCCTCCCTGCCAGCCGCCACCTCCGAGGTCTTCCGGCTCCTTCAAAGCCGGGCACAGGCCCTTTCCAGGCAGCTTCCCTGACAGCACACAGGGTCTCCCTACCCAGAGCCCAGACCAGCCTGCTTCTCGGCACACCCACCCCACCACCGCTTCACATCCACCTCCGCTGTGACCTTCACGGGCAGCTTTTCACAACTGCCCTCTGGGTCGATGATCCTCTGCCTGGTCTACACATAAAAGAAGGGGGTCAGGGGGCTTCCCTGGGGGCACAGTGGTTGAGAGTCCACCTGCCGATGCAGGGGACACGGGTTCGTGGGTGCGTCTGGCAGAGAAAGACAAATATCATATGATATCACTTACACGTGGAATCTAAAATATGATACAAATGAACTTATTTACAAAACAGAAACAGACTCACAGACATAGAAAACAAACTTACCATTACCATAGGGAAAAGGTGGGTAGGGATAAATTAGGAGTTTGGGATTAACAGACACACACTACTATGTATAAAATAGAAAACAACAACAACAACAAAGGTCCTACTGTATAGGAACTATAGCCAGGGAACTATAGCCAATATCTTGTAATAAATTAATATGGAAAAGAATATGAAAAAGAACTTATATGTATGAGAAACGAAATCACTGTGCTGTACACCAGAAACTAACACAACATTGTAAATCTACACTTCAACTAAAAAAAAAAAAAAAAAAAGAAGGGGGTCAGGGTGGCTCAAAAGCAGACCTGGTTGCACGGGAGATTGGGGGGCGGGGACCCACTCAGTCTACGAGGCTTCAGACCAGTCTCGCCCCGGCTCCTCTCACCAAGTCCTTAGTGCAGACCAAGCCCCAGGGGAGGGCCGCCCTGCTGCTGTCTGTGCCACACCTGCCATGCGTGACTTGCTGGTCTGACTTGCATTAACCACAGTCTCTCCCTTTGCAAACAACGCCCCCGCTCTGTTTCCTTGCAACCATCTCTCAGTCCATGTGGCCAGGTCACTTCTGCCCTCACAACTGCCCAGGGTCCCTAGTCTCATCATACAGACAGAAATCCAGTCCAGAGGGATGAGAGAGTCATCCCAAGGCCACACGTGGAGACAGCAGCAAAGCCCAGACCCAGGCCTCCCGGGTGCCAGCCCCGAGCTCCTCCCAGCATGCCATTCTGCCCTGAGACTGGGGGTAACTCCCTACCGTGCAGCCGGCCACCCTCCACACAGCATACACCATTTCATCCACCACCTACCCATCCACTTGTTCTTTCATCCATCCCCCTTTCCCACCAGCCAGCCCCCCACTCATGCAGCGCCCATCCACTCATTCCTCCCTCCACCCGTCCACTCTCTCAAACGTCATCTATCCACCCGTCTTTTCAACCATCAATCCATGCATCCTTCCGTCTATCCATCCACTCACCCACCCACCCATCCATCCATCCATACAACCACTCACTGAGCCCTCAGAGGACAGAGAAACCAGAGAGGCTGGGATACCAGAAAGGACTCTGGGTGAGAAGCACCTGGACTGGGCCTATAGCACAGGGGAGATTGGAGGCTACGATGGGAGACCAGAGAGGCCGCTCAGTGAGAAGCAGAGCACAGGCAAAGGCGCGGAAATGGGAAAGTGCGCAGTGGAGGCGGGCAGTGGAGAGGATCCAGGAGCCTGGGGGTTGGGCAGAGCCCTCTTGTCTGGGGTCCAGAACCAGGAGGCTCAGGCTTGGTCTAAAGGCCATTCGTGGGGAAGGGGTTGGCAGTGATGAGGCGGCTGGTCCGGGCACCACCCTCATCAGCCCAAAGCAGGCCTGGTTGCCCCACACCCACCCCCTCACCAGGCACTCACCTCCTCTGCACCTGGCCTGGCACCCCACCTCCGGGCCTCTGCTCCCTGGGTCAGGTATACACCAGGTATACACCAGGACATCTGGGAGTGCAGGAGATGGACCTTGGCCTGGTTGGGTTTGAGATGGACATCAGTCCAGGCTGGAGCCTGGCAAACAGGCCTACAGTTCCCGTGTGGCAGGAACGGGCCAGGCTGCAGGGAGGGGCCAGGGCAGGCTCCAGCGCTGCGGGGTGCTGCCCCCTCAGGGCCTGTGAGTGCGTTGGCGGCCACGCATCCTCCTGCCAGCTGCCTCCCAGTTCTGCCCTGTGCCACCCAGATGGGGGCCCAAGGGCTGGCTATAAATCCCAACCGAAGGCCAGCACAGGCTGCCGCCCTCCCGGCTCCTGAGCACAAGGAACGGCCTTTCCCAGGGCCCTGCTGCCGCCGCTGCTCACCTCAGCCTCAACTGTGAGCTTGGGCGAGTGCGGCTGGCTGGCAAGGGGCCCTGTCTCTGGTTCTCACTTGGCCCACCTCCTCAGTGGGGAGGGGGCCATTGGGGGGCTTTGAGGGGAAGGCTTCCTTAGGTCCCCCACTGGGCTCACCTTCCCTCACCCTAAACAAGCCTCCTGGTCCTGAGCCTGGCTTCACCCAGGACAGGGGTCACAGCCCGCTCTCCGGGAAGGCAAACCAAGGCTCGGGTAGAGGCTCGCAGTGCTCAAGTCTGCGCTCGGTGGCCTGGGCCTGAAGGGGCTCAGTAGGGCGAGCCACTCTCCCAGGGAGGGACAGAAGATGCTCCAGGTGGATCCATGGGGAATGGCCCAGGGCCTGCACCATCCCTGGCCTCTTCTCCAGCCCTTCCTCCTGTGCCCAGAATGGGTCTCAAGGCCGGATGACGAGGGTCTGTCCCTGTCCCTGTCCCAGGTGAGGCCTTAAGGTGCTTCACCTGTGAGCAGCCCACGGCCCTTCCTTTGTGCGAGACCATTACTAACTGCAAGCCGGAGGACACAGCGTGCAAGACCTCGCAGCTGACAGCGGAGTCAGGTGAGGCTGGGGGCCTGCAGGCTGGCTCTGTGGGGCTGCATCAGCCTCGGGCTCCCAGCTCCCATCTCAGGGCCACGTTGCAGACCCCAACTGGGTAACTTCCCAGGGCAGCAGTTAGTTTAGGGGTCTCAGGGTAGCATGGGAAGAGGCAGGAAGGGCAGGGTCAAGTGCATGGAGGCTGGGGCGGCTGCAGAAGACGCTGGGCGGCGGGGCACAGGCTCTGATGCCTCTGCCGTCCCCGGCGGAGCCCTGCTTCAACCACAGCCCCGGGGTGACCAGTTCCTGCTCCAGCTCCTGCGACGCCGCTGACCCAGACAGCATCGGGGCTGCCCGCCCCAGCTACTGCTGCTCCCATGACCTCTGTAATTCTATGGGCGTTGCCAGGCTCAGTGCTGGGGCCCTGGCCGCTCGGGGGCCATAATCCTGGGTCACCTCCTTTCCTGAAGAGCCTGGCACTGCTGGCGGTCAGTGCTGCTGGCACGCCCCCATGGCCCAAGCTCACTGGGCCTCAGGTTACTCGTGGGATCCTAGGGGAGAGAACAGGTTCAGGGCACTCTCTGCCCTCCTCCTCCACCAAACGTGTAGAAAATAAGTAAGGTGAGGCTGGAGACGACCTCTTTTCTTCTGGACGCTGAGAGCCCACAGACCGCCTTCAGGCAGCTGGGCCTGGAACCAGGCGCGTTCTGGCCCCTGAGCCTTGTTCTCACCCAGGGCCATTTTGACCCATTTCACAGATGGGAAAACAGAGGCTTAGGGGGAGAAATGCATCTTGCGCCAGGCTTCCTGCATGTCAGACCAGGCAGGACCCATTCCTCAGCCCAAGGAAAATCTGACCCCGCTCCTAGAATATTCCCTGAGCCCCTGTAGGCGTCACCCCCGCCCCCTACCCCCAGGATGGGGAGGAAACTGGGGTTGCAATCCAGTTTTCTCCACGGGTGAGTATGCCTGTCCAGCCCAGGGCTGCCGCAGCAGCAAGGGGAGGCTGGGGAAGCAGGCGTGTGGAGCTCAGCCTGCCTACCCAGGCTGGGTCTTCCCGACTGTGTAGGAGTGGGTCGCACCTGGGCCTGCTGCCACCCATGCATCTCCACGGGCCTCAGTCACCTCCTGAGACAACGGGCCTACTACACCCTGGGCCCTAGGGACAGCTGAGATTAGAGGATGCTGTGTGCACGGAACACGAAGGCCATGCCAGCTCACCCCAGGCCCCCAGGGCCAGCTCGGGGGTCCAGGCCGTGTTGCGCCCACAGCACTCCCAGTGGCCTGGCCTGTCCGCCCAAGGGTGGGCAGCAGAGCGTCCTCGGAGGCTGACCACCCCCCAGGAGCCCAGGGTCCTTAGGTCCCAGGAGGCCCTGTCTCAGGCTCCTGCCCCTCCCTCACGTGGCTCCCAGCTGTCCCTGGTGGTCACTTGCTCCAGCCCCATTATAGGGAGGCAGAGGCGGGATCCAGAGTGAGCCCAGGGTGTCTCTGCCCACCGTACCATCAGGCCTCTGGGCTGGGTACTTTCCACGCTCTGCATTGCGGCCAGGCTTCTAGACAGCACCTAATGGACCCTGCACTTGGAGGGACCCTCACCCCAAGGAGTGGGAGGCTGAGTCACTCCCATCTCAGCCTCACCAGAGGAGCAACAGGGAGGGTACCTCTGGACTCTTTAGGGGCAAAGAGCAGGTGAGCAGGTGGGTGGCAGCAGGCACCTGTGGGGCCTCCGCCCTGTGCCGACATGGCCAGCAGATGGCACGCGCTCCTTGGACCCCTCCCCTGGGCGCCCAGGTCATACATCTGCCGACACCTCCACCGGGAGCTCAGTGAGGTGGTCTGAGCCCAAAGGGGCCCACCAAGTCTCTGCCCAGCCCATGGGCCTGGAAGTGACCACCGGCCCGCACCCGCCACGGGAGATGGGGAGGCCGCAGTGGAGGGGCCTCAGGAGTGGCCAGAGGGTGCCCGGCAGCTGCTCACACCATCTGCGGGCACGTGGGGCCTTAGAGGCAAGGAGCTGGTGCCAGACCGTGCCCACGCCCCACCTCCAGTCATGGGGAAGCTGGTGGGTCACAGAGAACTGCAAATGGAGGGGAGGTGTCCACCAAGGGTTACCAAGGGTTGCTCAACCCCCCACCCCTGCCCACTGGCAAGGGAAAGGAGCAAGGGTCCCTCTTCCGTTCCGTTAAAATCGAGAAAAGGAGAGATGAGGGTGTGGAACGCCACCACTGCCCCACCGGGAGCTCCGGTGCCCGTCCTGCCCCCACCCCGAGTGTCCTGCAGGCAGGTGGCGGGGGCGGGGGGGAGTCACCTGGGGAGCCAGATACCCCACAGACAACACAGGGTTGCGGGGTGCTGCCGTGGACATCCCTGTAGCCATCGGCCTGTGGGAGGTGGGGAGCATGGCCCAGAGGAGACCCAGTGCCCGGCCCGCGTGCGCGCTGAAACGGTCACCTGAATTTCTCAACAAAAGCGGCCAGTCCACGGGATCAGAGTGGGACTCGCCCGAAGAGCCAGGCTGCAGATACACTTCCAAAGCCCCAGCCCTGGCCCCAGGCCCTCCAGTCAACAAGGACCCTCCTCCCCTCTGCTGTTGGCCTGTCCTCCAAATGTGGACCGAGAGCCTCCCCTGCCCCTGCTCAGCTGGGGTGCACCTCCCTGAAGTGGACACAGAAGTCCCCATGCCCCTGGGGCAGCCACATGCAACCCAGATGCCCTTGACCATCCTGAACACCCCTTCTCTCTCTCTCTCTCTCTCTCTCACACACACTCACACACACACACACACACAGTGCCAAGTGGGTCAGACCACGCCCAGGCACCCCCATCCTGTCTCCGCAGCCCCCCGCCCTGCTCCAGGGCCTCAGCCAGCCACTTAGGACCACTGGCTGGACCTGCCCAGGCTCAGATCATCTGCGTGCACCATTTCCTATCTGTGGTCCCACCCCGGAACTTGTCCTGTCTGGCAATGCTCAGCTCAGACACCTAATACGATCCCCCAACTTCCCCTGCCCCCGACGTCTCAGGACCTGTGCAAACACCTCTTACACAAAGAGAAACAGACATTCTGTGCGGGTGCCCAACTGCCCCCCACGTGGCCACTGGCTCAGGACAGGCATGAGGCACGGCCCATCAGTCCCCAAGGCCCTCAGGCTGCCCGGAAAGGTGGACAGGGCCGAGGCCCCAGCCGACCACCCTGGCAGCAAACCGCTGACCTGCTCCCCGCCTCTCCAGCCCCACCCACTGTCCCATCGCTGAATGCCTCTTGCAAACCCAGCTGCTTCCAACTGCCCTTCTTTCCCAGGTCCCAGTGCTGGGCCCTCCTGGGCAGGTGGTCAGAGCACGGACACCACCCACACCTCCATCACTCACCTGCCTTACATCCCAGGGGTCCCACTCCCTGCCCTCTTGGAGCAGCCTGCAGAACAGCCCCTATACTCCCCCTGGCCCCCACGCATCAAGGCCCACTGACCTCTGACCCCCCCGGCACCCACACCCTTCCCAGTGACCCCAGGAGCCTGGGGGCCCAGACCCAGACTCTGGGGCATGACCTCCCAAGTCCCTGTGGAAAACTGCAGATGAGGAGAGGACCAGGGCCGGAGGGGCTTGGGGCAGCTCCCTTCTCGCCTCGACCCCATGTTCTGTGGAATGTGGACAGCATCCCAGCCTGCCAGCGTGGTCCCCAAGCTCACCCAACAAGCCCGACAGACCCCCACGCCAGAAAACATCCCTGGGGGACCAGGGCTTCGGAAATGAGGACTCCCCAGCAAGCTCACGTTTAAGACCCTTTACTCTCGGGCTTTCTTTAAATCAAACAGAAATACTGCAGTGTTCCCACGGTGGCTGTGAGGCCGATGACACTGTGGGGACAGGGGAGGCATGAGGGGTGTGGCTGTGCTCCTGGCTCCAGCTCGCAGCGGGTCGTGGACTGGGTGGCAAGGGGGCAGTCCTGGGCCCCAGCTGCTCTGGCCTGCCCCATGGGCCGGAGGGGGCAGCTGCAGGGGCACAGGTGAGCAGGCACCCTGCCCTGGGCAGCCCCCACACACGAAAGCAGCAATCCCACACCCAGAGCCCTGACCTCTGTCCCCAGCCAGCCAGGGACAAGGCCCCCCTGCTTTGCCCTCAGCGCTCCTGGAGGCTCCGGGCCAGTGCCTGCTTCTCTCCAGGCCTCCCTTCCCCAGCTGCAAGGCGGGAGACTGGGCAGGAGTGGGAGCCCTCGGCCGGTGGCGCCATCTGGGAGCCCCAAGAGCAGCTGCCAGGACAGAGCCACTCAAGCAAAACCAAGAAGACCCTCTCCAGCCTCAGCCCACTGAGGGAAGCGGCTCTCTGCACAGGAAGGAAAAAAGTCAACAGCGGGGCAGAATGTCAGGCAGGGACAGCGCCAGCAGGAGGGCAGACAACTGAGGTGCTGTAGGCCCAGAGAGGGCAGGCCCCCCCCCGCCACCCCGCAGCGTCACACAGCACAGTCCTATGGGCACTGAAGAGTGCAGATGGGCGAGGGCACCCAGGCAGAATCCCACACCACAATCCCTCCTCAGCAGCAGGCCCCAACCAGGACACCCCCAGCTACGACAGTTTACCACCTCCACTGGAGCCCCTGTGCCATGTGACCTGCACTGGCCCCAGCACACTCTCCAGGGCCACAAGCCTCTGCTGCAGGACCTGCCCCCATCCCAGGAGCCTGGTGGCCAGGCCTCCCCCCTGAGTGCCCTTGGGTCAGCCTGCGTGACCCCTGGTCTGCCAGACTCTGCCCTGGGCCTCCCCTTCCCTCACTCGCAGCCAAAGGGATCTGCCTTGAAATGCCGCTCTGATCCTTCCCAGCTCCTTGCTGTGCCCGAATCAGGCCCCTAAGCCCCGGCCCCGGCCAGCCCCAGCCCTGTCTCCAGGACTGCTTGGGCCTCACCCCCACGGCAGCTCGGACTTCAAGCTCCGGTGCTCAGGGCAACTCTATAGCCAGTCCCCTGCTCCAGGCACCCTCCCCCAACTAGACACATGGACACGGGGCTGCACCTGTTGGGTGGGCCACCCCCAAACCCCACTGCCTGCATGCCAAGGGCCCTGGGCCTCCCAGTTTGCCCATCGTCATCATCCTGAGCGCAGAGCTGGTCTGGGTGCCTGTGTCACCCGCATCCCGTGCTCCGCGTGGGATGGGGCGGAGAGGGGCATCAATAACGGGGGCGGGGGAGGGCCTTGAGCATGTGAAGGGGGCTGGGCCGGTCGCAAGGCCATTCCAGCTCAGAGAGAGCCCAGCCTGGCCAGCCCATTCTGCGCTCTCTGCCTCCTGGCAGGCGGGGAAGGGTGGGCAACTGCCCCGAGGTCAAGGCTGGTGGGCAGGGCGGGTAGGCTGTGGCGCTCACTGGTCCTTTACAACACTGCCAAGCCCGCTCTCGGCCCGGAGCAGCTGGCTGCTGGCCTCGTTGTAGGCGATCCAGTGTTGCAGGTCGGCTGGCAGCTCAGGGGGCTCCACCTGCAGGGGAAGAGGAGGGTGAGACTCCCACGGGCCACCCGCTGCCGCTGCCGTGGGGACCAGCAGGGCCGGGGCGGGGACAGCCAGGCTGCCGTCTTCACACCTCTGGACCTCGGCTCACACCGTTCCCCAGCCCCAGCCACTCCCAGGCGCCCGTAGTGCGGGTCCCTCCCCATCCCAGGTCTCCCGGGCCTGTCTCCCCCACTGGGTCGCGACTGAGCCCCAGATCCGGGGCAAAAACCTCTGAGGCCAGCTGGTTGGAGGGGGCGACAGGAGACCCAGAGCGGCCAGAGGCAGGGCAGGGGATGGAGGGGCAGAAGCGGCGTCGGAGCGGCTCTGCCTGGAGAGCCCAGGACAGGGCCATGCCTGAGGCCCCCTCTCAGCGCGCCAACAGGAGCCGGACGCCACCTTGCAGCTCAGCACCGCGCTCCTGCGCCCTCCTGCTCAGCCACACCAGCCGCCTCCCTGCAAACTCGGCCACCATTTTGTGACGGGGCAAGGGGCTGGGCCAGGCTGGAGGGGTCCCAGGACTTGCGGGCCTCTCAGGAATGAGGGGGAATGCCCACCCACCTCAGGGCGTCAGGGAGGCCGGGCAGAGGTGCTCAGAGCCGGGTCACAGGGTAAGTCTGGGCAGAGCCGGGTCACAGGGCAAGTCTGGGCAGAGCTGGGCCCGGCTCCTGGAAGCATCCTCCTCCCGGCCCAGCTGGAATCACTAGATCCAGACTTGGCTGTAGCCCAGCTCTCCCTGCAAGGCCGTGCTGCCCCACACCAGCCTTTCAGCATGCAGATCTCTGGGCACTGGGCTCAGCCTGTCCCACACTAAACCCAGGACTGCACCCAGGGCCCTCCCGACCCACGGGCTCAGGCCAGGTGACTCCTGGCCATCTGTGGCCGAGTGTCCTCGCCCTGCCACGGTGTGGGCGCCCCCTGCCTCTCATGTGGGTCTCAGCCATCAGCGCCCCCGCCTGACCACCCTCCCCTGCAGGACAGTGGCCCTGGCCCCGTCTCCTCCACCTTCTGCTCGCAGCTCTCAGCCCGTCGACTTAAAGCCTCGATGGCCGTCCCCTCCCAGCCTCCTGACGCATGAAGGGACATGCAGAGCACCTCTGTGGGTGCGTGGTGGGAGGCATCCAGGCCCTTTGGGGGCGTCCCTGACTCAAAGAGACAGAAAACCAGGGGACTGGGCCTGTGGCCCCCTGTGCAGCCTCAAACAGTTCGCATTGCCTCTCTGAGCCTCAGTTTCCCCACCTCCGATATAAAGGAAAGGCTAGCCTCTCGTGATTAACGTGCGGCTGTGTCCCTCCTCTGCTCCCGTCCAGGGCCAGAGAGGGCAGCACCCGGCCTGAGGGCACCTAGGGGCCCAGCGGGCCCTGGCTTTGGCATGGCGGCTCCAAGCATGTCTTTAGGAACGTGTCTGCAGCAGGAGCCTGCCCTGGCAGCCAGCACTGCAGCAGCATCCCCAGGGCCCAGGTGCCGTGATGCAGCAGCAGGCTGTGCTGGGAGGAGCAGGCCCTGGGGAGGGGCCTTGAGCCCCAGGCAGGTGCTGCAGCCTTCTTTTCTCCAACTGGAAAAGGCAGAAGGGCTTGCAGCTCTATAGGGCTCAGGGCTCACCCCTAACCCAGGTGATGGTGACCCAGCCCCTCAGGTCTAAGCTGCGTGAAGGGGCTCTCAGGTCCTTGAGAACTCCCAGCAACCTCCTCTCACTAACGCTCCAGCCCCCATCTCCCCACCCCACCCCCACCCGGCTTCCATGCTACATTCAGAACCAAGGACCAGTGAGGCCGGCTCCGCACTCCAAGCCACACTTAGACTTTTTGGGAGACGCCTGGTCTGGCCTTCCCTGTTCTGGAAAAGGCGTAGCGTGGGGCAGGGAGCCTTGAGGGGTTAATAAGGGATGGCAGGAGGGGAGCATGCTGAGTCCGATTACAGAGAGTTGATGGGGGCCCTGAGAGGTCCCAAGAAGAATGGCATCAGTAAAGAAGGCCCTGGGTCCAAAGAAAAGGGCTGGAGCGGCACTCGGCCGGACAGGGGCACCCCAAAAGGGGTAGGCGGCAGGCCTTCCCCAAGGGCGGGGGGCAGGGACCAGGAGTCCTCAGGGTCCAGCGGGAGGAGTGCGCTCGGGGCGGGGGACGCTTACCCTGCGCTTGCACAGGTGCTGCACAACGCGCTCCGGCGAGGTGCCCAGCACGTGCTGGCGGGAGCGCAGCAGCGCGCACACGAAGCCGTCGCGCAGGCTAATGAAGCGCGCCTCCAGGTAGAAGGCGCGGTCGTCCCAGCCCAGCAGGCGGGTGCGCACCTCGAACGGCTCGAGCAGACGCAGCGAGCGGCGGTAGCGCGCGCACGAAGCGGCCAGCACGGCGCGCGCCCCGAGCGCGCGCAGAGCCCCGAGCACGCCGCAGCGGGCCAGGTGCGCAGCGCGCGCCACGTCGGCCTCACGCAGGTAGCGCGCGTTGTTCATGTGCAGCAGCAGGTCCAAGTCCGAGGGCAGCACGCGGCCCGAGTAGCTCTGCTCAGCCAGCAGGTCACGGACGCGGGGCTGCAGCAGGCGCGCGCGCAGTACGGCGCACGGCACGCGCACCAGGTACCAGCCGTCCAGCAGCGCGAAGTAGGCGAGCGCCAGGGCCAGCACCGCCATGACCAGCCCCAGCATCGCGGCTGCGGGCGCAGCGGTGCTGCGGAGCCCTCGGCGTTGGTGCCGACAGTGCGCGCGGCAATGCAGCCCTGATGCCCCAGCTCTGCCGGCCAGCCTGGGAACCGTTGAGCGCAGCGCGGCCGGAGCGAACCATCTCGCGAGGCTGGCTGAGGGGGGAGACGCGCCGGAGGCCTGAGCGGAGCCCCGCCCCCCTGCCCCGGGCCCCCCCCTCCCCGCTCTCAGTGGTCCGTCCCACCCCCGCAGCCCGCGCCGCTTTTGCTTTCCCCGGAGCGGGCGGGGCACAGGGCGGCGCGCCGAGCACCACAGCGGCATCTGGCGGTGACTCCCCGCGCTGCAGGCGCAGGAGCGTTCCGGGTCTCCCGCAGCGTTGCTGGCCCTCTGCGAGCGCGAGCCCCTCGCGCCTTTCCCTGGCTCTTGAAGACTTGGAGTGACCCCGGAGATTCCGCCTCTGATCTCGGAGGGTCAGAGTCTCCAGCACTTCCCCGGCCTAGGCTGTGGAATTTGGCAGGACACATGGACATAGGCCGGTCCCTAGCGGCGCTGCTTGGAGGCTGCTGGAAACCGACCTTCCTCTACTCCAGAACCACCAGGGGCTGGCTCCCCACTTTCGCAGGGCGACAGCCCCATATGCGGCGGGTTCAGGGAGTATCTCAGTCTGGCCCCAATACACGTTTTCAGTCTCAGCCTGTAACTTCATTACCCCGCCCCCCACATTCACCCCTTCCTCCCCAAAGGTCCTGATAACCGCAACCTCGTTTCCAACCATTCCCACCCTTTGCACTTTTTGAAGAGGGAGCAAATAACGTCCCGGATGGCGAGGGAGGAGTCAGTAAATGTAAATGACTCAGCAATCGATTCAAAGGCCTTGCCTTAGGCACTTGGGATGCCTGGCCTGGCAGACTGCCACGCACAGTAGGTGCCCTGTCCCTCTTTTCTGCGAGGCCGGGAGGGAAGGCCCAGAGAAGTCCCGGCCGGCCTCCAGGCCTCTCCAACGAAGGCGTTTGCCAGTGACCCTGGAGGCCGCCTCCTTTGGTCAGTACTGGAGTCCCGGGATGGGACTGCTGAGGTCCCGAGGCTCTGAGAACGCATCTGGCAGCAGCTGGACTGAGGCAACTGGGCTTTCATCCAGTCCACACCCAGCCTGGGCTCGGGTTGCGGGGTTCTTGAAAACCCCTGAAAGAAGGAGATCCTGGGGTAGCCCTGTTCCACAGTCCACGCTGGGGCTGGGCGGCCTCCCATGCCACGTTCACTGTCAGGGCAGAGGCTGAATTTTTTGCTTTTCTGGCTTTGCTTCTGGGGCCAGCAGCTGGGCAGAGTGGGGTCTGGGTTTTCCTGGGTCCTTGGATCTGCTTGGATACTCTCAGGAACAGGGAGCTCGTTTCCTATCAGGGCAGGCCCAGCTGCCCTAGGAAGCCCTGGCGGTAAGAAGGCCCTTCCCGCACATTGCTCGCGCGTGTCCCTGTAATGCTCTCCCTGCCCTGGCTTGGCTTTGAGCTGTCTGTCTGGGGGTGAGCTAGCTTCTCAGGGCGAATAGAAGAATGACATGTTCTTGGAGCCCCCCTTCGCTGCTCCTCTGAGAACACAGCCTCCTTGTCACCCACCTTGTCCCATCCCCCCAGGGGAGGGCCCCGAAGCTAGAGACCTGGTTCTGGAGATGTCAGTGAAGTTTGGTGAATGAGAATCCAGCCGGGAGCTTATGAGACCCCTGCCCCCAACTTCCTCACAGCCTGTGCTCCCCCCACCGCCCCGCCCACCTGGCTTCCTTCTAAGCTTCTGCTATCCAGGAGGCCACCCAACCACACACACACACACACACACACACACACACACACACACACACACTGCACATGCTGTTGTCCCTGCCAGGTGACCCTCCCTGCCCCATCTGCCCCTTTCCTGAATCCCGGACTGGGCTAGATCCCCAGAGCCCTGGTCTCACTCCACTTTTACTCACAGATATGATCCGTAGGCAGGGGGTGCTCTCTCCCTGCTGGACCTTGAGGCCAGGAGGCCAGGGCCTGGTCTGTCTCGTTGATTGCCAAATCCCAGGGCCAGCGGGATGCCCGGTGCGCCGAGGGCGCTCAAAACGTGAATGCTGTAAGGACCAGCGCCTTTCTGCCCCCCTCCCCCACCATCGGGCCGCTTCAGTCCCACACAATGGATGCAGGCATCTTGTGATGGGTCACTGGCAGTTTATTGGGAGGCTGGAAGGAGTCCTGGGCGCGGAACCTCGATGCCTTCCCTCGGCCCTGGCTTGGAGTATCCAGCAGGGTGGAGGAGCAGAGGAGGGGTACTTCTGGGTCCCCTTGGTTCCTCAAGGACTCTCGTGTCTGGGTAGCACCGGGCGTCACCGCCAGAGGCAGGCCCGCAGCCTAAGTTCTAGCGGCTGCCTGCTTGGATTCGAGGCTCCAGACCCAAGAGGAGCAGGGGCTCAGGATGCCGCCCGGCGAAACAGGAGCAGCAGTGCGAGTGGCCGGAACGCGGCGGGCAGCCCCTGGACCGGGACCCAACCTCGGCCCCGCCCCGGCCCCGCCCATCCCCGCCCCCAGAGTCGCTCCCGGGCCCCGCCCGGCCCGGCCCGGCCCGGACCCCAGCAGCGCCCCGCGCAGGGCACGGATCCTGGCGGCAGCAGCTCTGTGGGCCCTTTTGGCCAAGCCCGTCCGCGTTCGAGGGCTCGCATGGGTCCGCGCACGCCTTGGTCACCACCACGGTGCCACGAAGGAGTAGCTTGCGGGTGGGACAGAACCAGGGTCGCCAGGGCGCAGACCTGTTTGTCCGCAGTGCGAGCTGGGGGGCCGGCCCATCGTGGACCTGAAACTCAGTTCCGTAAAAAGGGGGCGGTCTCCCTAACAGAGGGTAGCTCTATCGTAGCCCTGGGGGAGACCGACTCGATTACTCCTGTGCTGGGGCTCTTTTCTGGGTGCTGTCTGCCCAGGGCGAGTCCCCCAGCCAGCGTCCCTGGTGAGGCAGGCCTGGGCCCCCAGGGCATGTGCTGACGTTCAGGCAGCGGGCCACGGTGGTGGTCCAAGCATTGGGCACAGGCGAACTGCTCACCTGCGGGCTGCCCCAAAACCCCACAGCTTTTGTGGGGTGCATGGATGGGGTCCCAGCTCTGCGCCCTGCAGCTGTGAGGGCTTGGGCAAGAACTCTGCATCTCTTCTGACTCAGGAAGGGCCCCCTGGGGCACTCCAGGACTGCACAGCACCTACTGGAGACCCCCTCTCCTTCCCATCTAGCTAGACTCCCTGCTGCAGCTGGAGTCCAGTGCGGAGGGTGGGGACAGCCCCAGGGAGCCAGACCAGTCATCAACCTCAGCCCCGGAGGGGCTGGGGCTGGAGAGACGGTCCGGCCGAGCCAGAGTCCTCAGGGGAGGAAAGCCCAGGACTGGGTGTGGCTGGGAGCTGGGGCCGGGGCGGGAGATGCCCACTCAGGGGCCCGATTTGGGGTGGGCAGGAGCCCTCTGTGTGACCCCAGGTCAGCTCCTTCACCTCTCTGAGCTTTCTACCGGGGTTGGAATGCAGCCTCACCAGTTCTAACTAACTGTGTGATCTTGGGCAAGTTGCTTCACCTCTCTCTGCCTCGGGTTCCTCCTCTGCACAGCCCTGCGCCCAAGGCGGGAGGAATGAATGAATGGCTGCATGGGAGGCGGCAGAGGAGGGCGGGGCCCGTGGTGAGCGCTATGCCATGTCTGCTCTTGTCGTCACCTATTGCTTTAGATGCAGACAGACCAGGACAGTATCTCTCCCACGGAAGATGCTCAGCAAGTGGCATCTTAAAAACAAAGACACGGCGGTCTGTCCGGAGGATCACCTCAGCCACCACCGCGTGTCTTGTCCTTACTAAGGAGAGATAGAGGTTTAAAAAAAAAAGCGGTTTCCTGAAGAGAGTGTGACCAGGTGTGTAAACTCGCAGGATGCTCCTTATTCTTGCACAAGAAGCATCACCATGAGGGTGAAAACGGGGACAGATAGCATCCTAGGGCTTGGGGAGAGGGTTCTGCACTTCCTTTTCCTTGCTTTCCCACAGTTTCTGACGATGAGATGGTGTGGGGTGGAGTGGGTGGGGGTCCCAGTCCAGACGCTGCGTTGGGCCGGCTCAGGGACCCTGGGCTGCCCCTGCAGGTGGCCCCCGTGCTGTCCTCACCCTTGGGGAGGCAGAGCCCCCGTCAGCCCTCCATCGCGCGGAGGCGGAGGCCTCTGCCCCGCGGTGCTGCCGCTGCCGCTGCCGCCCGGGCCCGCCCCTCTTCCGGAGGCTCAAGGCTTCACGACCTCAGGGACGGCTCAGGAGGCGAGAGCAGGCCCCGGCTACGGGGCACGGGGGCCCGCCCGCCAGCTCTCTCCTCTCACATTGACCCAAAGAATTCAAACCGCTGGGGCCCGGGGCGCCTCACCTCCATGAGCCTCGGCCCCAGGGCGGAGCACCCCTCCACAGGGAGGCGCTAAGGTGTGGGTTGTCGTGGGCTCTGAGTGCGGGGACCTCTGGTCTCCTCTGCCCTCCAGACTCACCACCCGCAACACTGGGCTGCCTGGGGCTCCCTGTGCTCTGGCCTGGACTCTGGGGAGCGTGACCCCACCCCACCTGCTGCTGTGCCAACCTGGAGGGTCTCTCCAGTACTCGGGTTCTAATCCTGCCTAATCCACCACCCAGCACCTGGTGTGGGCTGGAAGCACCGTCCTGTGCAGGCAGGTCTCACCCAGGGCCCGGCCTTCCCTAAACCCTGGCGCCCGAGGGCAGGGGCCACCTGGGTTTTCAAAAGGACTTTCCCAGGTATGAAAAAGGCCAGGCAGGGGACGTGTCCCCTGGGGCTCCCCCCCCCCCCCCCCCCCCCCC